CGAGTAGGTTGTACTGTTCTCTGATATGAATAATTTGTTTAAGTGAGTTCACTCCTTTTTCTTCTTCTCTCGTACAACAAGTAAAAGACTCAAGCCAGACTAGATGCCAGTAAACCCAAAGCTAGACTCTTAAGCAATGACTCTATCAGTACTTTGTAAGATTTACAAGGTTCTATAACATACACTACAATCCACATCACAATTATCACGACCATTCAGACCAGAGTATCAGTTTTATGTTCCCATTCATTACGGTTATCATTATATCGGGCAAGTAAGGAAGAGCATCACCGAAGTAAAAACATGATGCATTCAACTCAATAGCGTATACACTAAGAGTCTTAATACTCATGGACTAAAACTTAAAACATATAGGCAATTCAAGAACGAGCTTTTGTCTCTAGATTTTAATCGAGCAAAGTAAACACTTACCACTCAGAACAATCCTCGCATTGCACCATCAAATCATCAGGGTTATACGGCATCTCACATTTGCAGAACCTGCAACAACAATCTCAATTTTAGATTGAAAAACAAAACCATCCCTGACTCTCAACAACAACTTCATGAAACCGTGAACAAGAAATCGATTTAGATTACAAATCGTCGACGACAAGATTCTTTACTTATAGAAGAACAATCAAATGCCTAGACTATCTCACTAAAGCCTAAACTCAACCAACAAAACAATTCAATAATCAATCAGGTGAAAAAAAAACCAATAGTTCCAACATTCATCGATTCTCTTGGCAAATACTAGTAAAGAGAGAAACACATACACGGCGACTCTGTCGGGAACAAAGGCTCCGGTGGCGGAATTATAGTCAAAACGACAGAAGAAGTCGTCGTTTCCGACGGAGTCAAGCGTTGTGTAGCTACTGAAACTGTGAACCTTACACTTGCCTTCAATCGTATCCGCGCTTTGCAAATCGTAGTGATCAGAGAGGAAAACCTCTTTAGCTCCATGGAATTGTCTCCTCCCTCCCATAGATTCCTCAGGTCGGTAATACCACCTCACACGAACCCTCGCGTGCGATCCACGCGCATCCGTCTCGATCGCTTCGACCCTCGCTACGTACGACGGTTTCCCTGGCTCCGAAGACCGCATCAAAACAGCATCTCCTTCTTCAAAACCCCAAAAAACCACATCGAAACGAAACGATTCAACTTGAATTTTCCACGAAATTCGGAAATCAAATGAAGTAGAAGAAGGACGTACCTTGAATTGTCTTATTGATGTGTTTGAGTTTATAGGACTTGTGTTGCTGCCTTTGAGATTTTTGCTTGGGCATCT